AAATGTTTTGAGAATGATGAGGGAAATGATTGTATAAATGTGCTTTACACAATTGATGTATGTAAGGACTGTGGCAAGAGTTGTATGAGCCCCTAATAAAAAAAAAAAAGAACTAGGAAAAAAAAAAGATTACAGCCTCGGAAATCTTCTGGGGATGGTTCTACTCTGTTCCATAGAATCCCTTTGAGTTAGACCTGCCATAATAGCAATGGTTTGGTTGTATAGGTAAATGAAGCAATACAACATGTTAAAGCATTAGAAGACTCACTCTTAGGATCTCAACCACCCACAAATTAATCTATAGAATCAGTGACATTATAATAAAAGTACTAATAGGATTTCTTGTTCTTTTGCTTTTAAAAACACAAGATCATTCCAATAGTATACGACACATCAAATAAAACAATAACAATATTGAAAAAGAACAAATTTTGAAGACATTCTACATGACTTTGATTGCACTAATCAAGACAGCCTGATGTTGGTGAGATAGTAGACAAATAGATCAATGAAACAGAACAGAGAAAATCCAGAAATAAAGGCAAACATTCATGGTTAAATTACTTTGATAGAAGCACCAAGAGTTTCACGGGGAAAAGAAAATATTTCAACAAATAGTGCTAAAATATCTAGATATATATACAAGGGTAAGCAAAAAAAATTGCTTGAAAAATCACAGGGAACCTTTAATAAGCAAAAACGAGAAACTCTTGTTCTTTGGCATGCATCTAGACCTCCATCTCGGTCTAAACACATCTATTTCAATTTCTCTAATCCTTCCAGAGTGAATTCTGCACTCGTTGATTTATACCACATTAAAATGACAGTTTGGGCATCCTGTAGAGTGAAATCTTCTTCCTTTTCAATGTCCTCTAGGATTAGGGAACACAGAGAAGCCTGGCATGGTAAGACTACGTCTGCTGGGCAGATGGGTAAGTTTCCCAATGAAGAATGTTGCGATGGAACATAATTCCTCAGTGCAACACTCCTGCTCTTTTTCTCACCCGTGCAGTTTTGATTTTTCTTAAAACTTCTGCCTAATAAGACCTGTGATCACCCTAGGGCCTTTGAGAAAATATACTGAGGTCACCCTTTTGAAATCCAAACCAAAACGGTTGCAGCTACATTCTGAGATAACCTCTCTGTCTTGAATTGAACTGGCAAACGACAGCCCTTTGGAAGTCATCATTTTGATCAGTCTTGCTTGTCTTGGTAACCTTAACATTACCCCCGGTTACAATTATTCCATAAAATTATGTTCATTAGCTATCTCCTTCCTGTTATGTTTATGCCCATTGTACACCCCCCTCCTATTGTTTGTATTGCCTATGTTACAACCCCTTCCTATCACGCATGCCTTTACCTGTAATTAGGGGGCATGCACACCCCCAAAGATATATAAGCCTTGCATAGTAATAAATCTCTCTCTTGCTCACTCCTGCAACTCTCACCTTCCACATCCTCACGTGGACCACCATGCGGGGCTGAGGTGAGCATGCTAACATGAAAACAAACATTATGTCATTAATTTTTTTTCTTTTCCCTATGAGAAATACAAACTTTATTAAGCACAGAGAGTGACATGTAGGCCAAGTTACAAAATAGCCACTGGGATACCTCTCAAAGTGGACTCTAGCATTCCAAAGGAATGGCAAAGGGGGACGTGTTCTCTGCCATCGCCTTTCAGGGCTGCATTCGGATGGCACCATCTAGTCGAATGACTTCTCCATTGAGAAATGGATTCTCAATTATGGCCTGTACCAGATGAGCATACTCAGTAGGGTCGCCCAGTCGGCTGGGGAAGGGCACCTGGCTGGTCAAGAAGTTGCGCACCTTGTCTGGGAGGGTAGTCAGCAGTGGAGTGGCAAACAGACCTGGGGCAATGGTCATCACCCGTATGCCCATGGGAGCCAGATCCCGAGCAATAGGCAGTGTCATGCCTACTATGGCCCCCTTAGAAGCAGAGTATGCAGCCTGTCCAACCTGGCCATCAAAGGCTGCAACACTAGCAGTATTGATGATGACGCCACGTTGCCCTCCTTGGTCTGGTTCATTCTGGCCCATTTCTTGGGCCACGAGGCGGATCATATTGAAGGTACCTGTGAGATTCACATTGAGCACTTGTTGGAAGTCCTCCAAGCTATGGACCTGGCCCCTCTTTAAGTTGTATGTCTTGATGGCCACGGCAATGCTTGCGCAGTTGACTGCGACATCCACACGGCCAAACTTTGCTTTTGCTACATTCAGGGCTGCTTGCACGTCCTTCTCTGAGGTCACATCGACTGGGGCGAAGGCACAGCTCTTCCCTAATTTCTTGGCCTGGGCCTCTCCATCGGAGTTGGGCAGGTCCAGAAGCATAGCAGAGGCTCCCTGCCCCACCAGTCGCATCGCTGTGGCTAAGCCTAGACCCGAGGCTCCTCCAGTTATCACTGAAACCAGGCCCTTCACACTCCGACACGTAGCAGCCATCTTGCTCCAAGCCTCCTCACCGGCAGATCTGCTCCCGGCTCGCTGATTGGCCGAGGTGGAGTGTCGCTGGGGAGGGCCGAGAAGGCGGGCGGACAGACGTGCGCATGCGCGAGAGGTCAGGGGCAGGCTCTATTGGGTTTCTCCTCTGCAGTGTCAATCCATCACACCCACCGCGTTTGGGCAGGCTGCCAACCCCTCTGGGGAGGGAGGTAATGATAAAGCCTTTTCTTTGTAGAAAAAGCCCGCATACCTGTCCAGAGATATCTGAGACTCCCATTTTCCAGACTCTGTGCTGGGCACTTAGAATAATACCTCAGCCCACTTGATGGTCCTCGGGAGACCCCGAGAATATAGAGAGAAAACTAGGTGGTCTCAAAGTGTAAACTTTGGTGTGCTTTTTAGCTATTCCTAGGTTTGTTTTGTGAGGATATGTACTCTTTGTAATCTGAGAATAGGCACATAATTGACTGATTATTCTTTTGTAATTTCTAAGTACAATTTAGGATTTCTGACAGTAAGCTCTGTGTTACAGCATACCTAGATCACCACTTTAAAGTAAATAACTTCATATTCAGTGTCTCTTCTTTTCAATAGAGAAGAGAAACAGTTTTAATAGTCTTTCCTATAATATTTTCATCAAAAAGCTAAACACATATCAAACTAAAATGTGCTACAATAGCTAAAATAACGCTATGTAATTTTTTCTTCCTGTAGTAACACATGGCTTGTATTATTTTTTAAAAAAAACAATTGAAGCATTTTTCACAACACCTAGTATCCTTTTCAAGAAACTTCATTGTTTTATTTTCTAAATAAATGAGTTAATAACATCCCACAAGCTGCTTTGACTTTTTTTGGGGGGTGGGGGATAAAGTAAGGTAAGTACCCTAGAGTTCCAGCACTTTTTTGAAAAGTAATGAAAATATTTGTTTTCATGAATTTCTTCATTGGTGAATCAAAACTTTAGATATGCACTATAGTTCAAAAGTAAAGAATTGCCAAATTTCTCCAGTCATGTGGATGACTTAAAATAAACAAAATACATGAGATAAAAGAATGTTTGCCTTGAAATGTAACCTTGTTTGGAGAATAATATAGAGATGGAAAAATAGCGATAGATGATAGATCAGGTAAAACAGATAGTTAGATTGATAGATATATAAACATTTCAGAAAGCTGATCAAAACCGAGCAGAAGTGCACAGCCAAGAAAAATGACTTCTCTTCTGATTCTATCCCTTGTTTCAAGAATGTCAGAAACAATTTATCATGCTTATTGAGAATGCTTATTTTCAAAATTATAGCACAATTAATGAATTTTGTCATGCTTGTTAGAAATAGTACAGTGTAGTAGTATTTAAAAGTTATATTTAATTTGCTTATATTGGGAAGGGGGGCAATGTGGAAGGGCAATGTAAGATGGATATTTTGACTGTAAATTAGAGAAAATAAGACAGAATAAAATAAAACCCAAAAAAGGTGTAGTGAGACCTAATAGAAAGGAAAGAAGAGTCAATTTCATTCTTGCTGAAGTTGTAGCTATGAGTGTTTATTTCTTCGCCTATTTTTACTACTGACCCAGGAGCCAGTAATAGTTTTTCAATAGTCATTTTAAGTTGATTGGCCACTTTTCCCTTAGTCTCACACTTATGCCTTTAGAGTGGAGCATTATATAGATTAAATGCTCATCATTACTAATGACTGAATTCAAATGCAGAGAGTGTGACATTGGTACAGCATTGCCTTGATGACTTAAAGGGAGGGAAGGGCAAGTGGGGAAGAGGAAGAGGCTCTTGGTATCAAATTGGGGGCCATTTACTCTGTTTCCCTATGTCTCTCAAAGTTGTTTCCTCTATTCTTAATTCTGGAAGTACTTTTCCTTTGTGTTCTTGTGTCTTATCTTGATAGATATGCTCATGTTAATTACCATGAACCAAATTTTAATACATTGATCCCACTCCATCCTGGCTCCAACATCTCTCCAAACACAGAATGAACTGCTAGATTTAAATAAAATTCCCTAGGGATCATTTGCAAAATTCATTGAAATGCAATACTCTCAAAGAGTCTTATTTAACCTGTCGAAATTGCACACATCTACATTTTAGTAATCAGTCTAAGATTATATTTGAGAGACTCTAAGTATGGGCATATGTCAGGTAGCGTGTCTCACGCATTCTTGCAACGCCTCACAAGATTATGCCTGAAACATAATCAGTGTTAGCATCCTTTAAAATATGAATGTCTACATTCCTTACAGAAGTTGTTTTTCCAATAGCTTTCTTATTTTTAAAAAATTTTTCTGCCCTAGAATTAATTTTCTATTATTTTGTGTCCTCTCCCATGGTCTGGACTCAACAGGAATTCAGTGTATTGAGTAACATTTAGTGAGAATCTTCGTTAGGACCTGAAATCTTTCAGTACCACATAATGTGTCTGAATTGTTTATTATAAGCCTATGGAAATTCAAACAAATTATGCAAAGTTTTATGAGCATTGCAACTCAATCCAAATTGTTTGGTGGTAAATGAACAAACATGAAATCACCTATTTTCAAGCTTGTAGAAATAGCTACTGTTCTTCAAATTACGAAATCTATTGTAAGTCATGTAATGTCTAAACAGATTTGATTCAAATTATATGATTTTATATTAATCTGTTCTTAAGATATTGAATTCATTACTATCTTACAGGTTGTAATATCTAAAATAAAAATTCCATTGAAACAAAAATAAATGGGAACGCCAATAAATCTATCACTATAGTGTTGATTCTGCCTCATCACATTCCAATAGGACAAAGTAGAGTTGTCTTAGAGGCTTTCCAAGGCTTGGATCTGTATGATAGAGACTGCCACACCTTCTTTGATAAAGTGTGGTAAATTCAAACAATAGACTTATCAGTGAGTAGCTTAGAATTTAATCCCCGTTACTCCAGGAAATTCAGGGTCATTGAATCAGTTCCCAATCATAGTGAGCCTACAGTACAAAGTAGAACTGCTCTGCAGGGTTTCTTAGTGTGTAACTCATTATGAGATAAGACAGTTTCCTCTTTCTCCTTCCAGAGAGGCTAACGGGTTTGAACAACCACTCAACAACCAGAAAGATAACATCAAAGAACCAACAAAAGGCAAATGTTTCTTTTAAATAGCCATATTTCCATATATGATCTCACTATATTAAGTTGTGATTTCTGATTTTTCTCTTTTTTTACTGCCACCCTATTTTACCATGCATGATGTCCTTCTCCAGGGACTGGTCCACTTGACAACTTGTCCAAAGTCTGTAAGATGAAATCTCACCATCCTGGCCTCTCAGGATCACGCTGGCCTTACTTCCTCCAAGACAGATCCCTTTGTCCTCTCAGCAGTCCATGGTGCTTTCAGTATTCTTCCCCAACACCACAACTCAAACACATTGATTATTCTTTGACTTTCTTATGCCCCACTTTCACAAGCAAATGAGGCAATTGAAAATACCATGGCTTGGGTCAAGCACATCTTTGACTCAAAGTAACATCCTCATTTTTCAATATTCTAAAGGGATTCCCTGCAGCAGATTTACCTAATGCAACATGTCTTTTGATCTCTCGACTGCTGCTTCCATGCGCTCTGATTGTGGATCCAAGCAGAACAAAATCCTTGATAACTTCAATCTTTTCTCCATTTATCATGATGTTTCCTACTGGTCCAGGTGAGAGGATTTTGAACTTCTTCACATTTAGTAACCCATACTGAAGGCAACCATCCTTGATCTTCTTCAGCAAGTGCTTCAAATCTTCCTCGCTTTTAGTAAGCAAAATTTTAAAAAAATTATTATTTAAAAAAACCATTTTACTGGGGACTCCTACAGCTCTTACACATCAATTGTATCAAGCATATTTGTACATATGTTGCCATCATCATTTCAGCAAAGTTGTTAATGAACTGAAATGTACTTGGCCATTTTAAATCAGAAAATCACATGGTTAACAATACTATGAATACACAATCAAGAGGAACTTCTCTGCATTCATAGTCAAAAAGGGCATTTCAAACTCTATTTTGAAGTACAATGCAATATTAGATTATATATATGTATGGCTCAAAGGAAATACAATCAATACCACTATTATTCAAATTTATGCACCAACCAAAAAAGCTAGTGAAGAAATTAAAATAATTCTACCAACACCTTCAGTTCAAAATTGATCAAACATGCAGTCAAAATGCATTGATAATTATTGGAGATTGGAATGCAAAAGTTAGAAACAAAGTGGAACATTAGTTGGAAAATATGCTCTTGGTGATAGAAATCCCCAAGAAGTTAGAAGCTGGATATCACATGATGAAATTTTGTAAGACTAACAACTGTTCACAGAAAATGTCTTTTTCAACAACACAGAAAGCTACTGTCCAAAGGGACTTCTCCAGGTGGAACACACAGAAATCAAACTGACTGCATCTGTGGGAAGAGACGATAGAGAAACTCAATTTCAGCAGTTAAAACCAGGCTTCAGGCTGAAGCTGCAGATAAGGAAAAGTCCTTAAGAGCCAAAATAGACTCAAGTCTATGAATTTTGGGACCATCCCAAGAAGAGATTTGCAGCATTGAACACAGAAGACCTGATGAGTTGTGGGTGGACACCGGGAGCCTCATTTGTGAAGAAAGCAAAAGGTCATTAGAAAGACACAAAATAAAGAAAAAGTTCAACACAGATGTCAGAGGAGATTCTGACATGTGCTCTTATTTGGGGAGTAGCTCAGGCAAATGGAAGAAATGATCAAGTCAAAGAGCTGAACAGAAAATTCCACTGGGCAGCTTGAGAAGACAAAGTAAACTAGTATAATGAATGTGCAATGACTTAAGGGTTCAAAAATCAAAAAGGAAGAACATGCTCAGCATATCTGGCACTGAAAAACACTCAAGAAAAATTTCAAGCCTTGAATTGTAATACTGAAAAGTTCTATGGGAAAAATATTGAACAATGTATGAAGCATCAAAATAAGATGGAAAGAATACA